ACAAAATGATTTTTAAAAAAAATTATAAACCGATGATGTAAAAAAAATGAAATTATGAACAAAACTTTTTATTCATGAACCTACAGCAAGCAATAAAAGATAATGGTAAAGAGAAACACAATTAAACAAAACAAAACAAAGCAAAGCCGGTGATGGAAAAAATGAAATTATGAACAACATTTCATGAACCTACAGCAAGCAATATAGCATAATGGTAAAGAAAAACAAAGATTTAAAAAAAAAAAAAAACAAAGCCGATGATGGAAAAAATGAAATTATGAACAAAATTCATGATTCATGAGCCTACAACAAGCGATATATCATAATGGTAAAGAAAATTTCAGCAAAGCGTACCAACTTAGGGAGAAGACAAGGATTCTATAAACAATGGAGGAATACCTCTGAGCTACTATAAGCACGAAGAACAATGTAAGGCTCTGGTTTTCCACGAACATCATAGAAAACCACACGCCCATTGCTTGTTCCAGCAGCAAGTATCAAACCATCATCTCTGAAAGCCATAGATGAGAAAGGTGCCTCATAAGCAATGAAAGAAGATGGTCTCCTTGATCCTGAGTCGTAAGTGTACAACTTCTTATCGAGCCCAACACTAGCAAGAGTCTGAAAATAGAAAAATAATTAATTTGAATGATTTTTACCCCAAGTGGACAACCTCTCACTCTAGTTTTTTTGCTTCCACTATTCTTAATTCTAAAATATAATAAAGCAAGATATCACTGATCAATCACAAATAAGAAGGGGACCTTATCATTAGATGGTGAGAAGCTAATTCCAGCAGTTGGTGCAGAATGTTGTTTCTGCCAAGAAACCTACACAAAAACAGAAGTACGCAACCACGTTATCGCAACATAACTTATGAAATAAAGGCTACTGTGAAACATAGAAACCTAAAGAACAGAATGAAATATAAGGTTCATCACATAACATGTCAACACCAGAAAATAGTGAAAGACAATGAGGCAGGCCAAAGTAAATTAATGGCATGGATAATGGTTGGAACATTAAAGATCTCAAAATTCTGAGTAGTCATACATTAATAAACGTTGGCCAAAATCTGGTACTTTAGATGACAAATAGTCTTTCCACAGCCCAAACAAAGAAAAAAAAGGCAATGGAAATTTCATTTTTGTCCCCCAGATCCATCCAGGGATCGATCAGGTAGGTTTCTAAGATCCCCTGGAAAGACAATCCTACTAAGGGAACATATCCATCATTATTGAATGACTTACAGCAGAAACCAAGGCATTGCAAATGTCTTGAAACAAGAAAGATGTGGATACTATAAAGGCCACAAAAAAATCATCCGTAACAATTTTTTATATTTATATCGATAAGTAACAAGCCATGTTATTCCTACAACAAGATAGTCAGCCAAACCTTAGGGTTACGGCCAGTTGTGTCCCATAGATGTACAGTTCCATCGTCACCTGCAGTCACCAAAAGGTGTCTGCTAATACGAGAATAGTCGAGCACCCTCAATACCTGGTCTTAACAGCCATCAGAAAGGACAATTAATTGAAAATCAGATCATCTGACTCTGTAAATATTAAAAATTAACCAAGATGCAATAAACTTCGACAACCTGTTCATTAGGGTCTTTAAGTTCAGCAGCCCTTGCACCAGATGCAAGATTGTGAAGTAAAAGATCCCCACTAAGACTGATTGAAGCAAGGTGCTCATCTTTACAATTGTACATAGCTCCTGTTATAGTATTGGTATGTCCTCTCAACCATTTTATACATCGTTTTCTCTGCAAATCCCATATTCTTACAACATGACCACTCCCTCCAGTACACATATACCTGGAAACCTTGTTGCTGAAACTTATAGAAAATATGGATTCCTGTACAAAAGTTTAGCCATGAATAAACTAAATAATTACTTATCACTAGCCAGCATTCCCTTGAGCTCCTAATCTCGAAATAAATGAGATGCTACTACTCCATTAAACAACCAACTGACCTCTATGTTATCTCCACCATCACTACCAGCAATTGGAATGGTTCCCATGCTCTGACCATTCTTCCGCCACAAGGAGATCTTCTTATCGTCGCCGGCACTGGCCACAACCAAATCTGCAAAAATAAAATCCCAGTTGAATCAAGAGAAACCAGAACCACCACCTCAGAAGTAAACTAGTGCATAGCTCAAGAAAAGTTAAGGCCAATTCTATGAACCAAGAAACTCCAAGACAAAAACCGATAAAGGGTGATTCAAGGGGGAGAAAAGGAATCTAAGCGACTCACTTGTATGATTCCACTTCACTGAATTGACTTGGTAACCCGGTGAGGGAGTGTAGCTCAAAGTGCACGGATCGCCCAGATCGTTGGAATAAGCAGAAACATCAAACAGTTTTACGGTATCTCCAGCACTTGCAGCCAGTAATGCCATTGATGGATCACCCGAAGTCATGAGTTGAGTCTACAAAACGAAGGATTAGGAAGAAAATCTAGAGGAGCCACCAAGCTTCCCAATTACCGAAGAATTTTACCGAGAATATAGAAGAAATCGGAAATTACTATTCTCGGAAGAAAGGGGGAAGACAATAACAATAAGAACGGATTAGAGAAACGGGAAGTGGATTTTCATGTTGTTCTTTTTTTCTTTTCTAATTTTCTATTTTCCTTTTTTTTTTTTTTTTTTTTTTTTTTTTTTTTTTTTTTTTTTTTTTTTTTTTTTTTTTTTTT